GGGACCTGCCACACAGTAGGTTCTCAATAAATGACAGAAGAAAAACAAGATGATGATGATGATTTTACTAAAAACCAGGGTTCTTCTAAATAAGGTAGGGGCTTGTTGTACCAAAAAAGATCAAGAAGAAAACAAATCAAAAGCATTAGGGATACTGATAAAGAAACAGCTTTGGGAAGTAAAAGGTAGTCTTACTTATAACCTATCTAACAGAGGAAAATAAACTACCAAACAGAAAGTAAGAAATAAACTTACAACACAACTACCTTTGGTTTAATTAAAACACGTGTGGCCTAACTTGTTATCTCTGAGTTCTTTCTCAGCCTTGAAAAAGTTTCAGAGAGGACCGTAGGAGTGCGAGCTTCCCCTGCTTCCTCAAGAGGAGACAGTACCAGATTCTTCTTGCTATCAAGAAGAAGGAAGAAACTAATTTCTGCTATCAATCTGCTACATGAGCAATGGAAAAAGCCAACACAACAGCTTCATAGCCACTTTTGTTATCAGTCTCCTGAAGCAGAGGGGGGAAAAGCCATTTCTACCCTTTAAAAGCACTAAACAACTTATCTCGCCACCCAACATTTCTTTCCACTCTGTGTGTAGTGGCTACTCTTTCTCTCTCTCTCTCTTTGTGTATGTGTGTGTCTCTCCCTCTCTCTCTCCCTCCCTCTTTCTTTCTTTCTCAGGAAAATAAACTTTTACTTTTATATATCCTATTCACTGAGCATTCTTTCTCACCCCACGCTCAGACTTCATACCCTAACAGGAAGGCGGTCCTTAATCTTGATCTCAAATTTTTCAAGTTGTACTCATTTATAGCAAGAGTGTTTAAATGGAAAGAAATAATAATAAAACAAAAACTTTCTGAACTACAAATGCAATGGTATGTTTACTAGATCTATCCCTTAGGAATTAAATTTTTAAAACATTTAATAAATATCTTGTAATTGAGAAATGGACAGTGTAATCGTGAATAGTTTTTCCCAAACTTGAGATTCCCTGAAAATAAAAAGCATCAATTTATACCACAAAATGACAGCACAGCATATAATTTTCTTTAATTCTATCATTCAGAGTAATTATAGCAGATGAAATACAAGGAAAGTATTATGGGATCACAATAAATAATAACACTTTTCCCAGTGTGTAATTTGCCAATTTCCATATTTCTATTCTTTACCTCTCTTTTTGTTCTCTGGGACAATTTTTTAAAAAAGGCAAATAGTTTATTTTTCAATTATGGGAAGAGTATCTGTCTAATATATATTGTTTTGTGTAGCCTTTTTTAAACTTCACAAAGTCCTATTAGTAATTACCAACAAGAACTCACATATAAAGCATAAAATCAGAGTTTCAGTAATCCATTTTTCTGAAGATAAAAGTATATTTTAATTTTAATAACTCATTAAAAGGAATGCCATTAAATTGTATTATTTATCATAGACAATACAAATTAATTTAAATCAAAACTTAAAATTTTTTTCAATTATTTTTCTTTTTAAAAACATCCAATTCTAGACTGTGTTCAAGGATGAGAGGACCTTCACTTTGATTTTTAAGGCAGTGAAGCCATCTTGTGGTAGATGTCAGTATTGCCAAGGCTTTAAGACAGTCACTTCCACTTGGAAAATTTAGATCTTAATCACAGTTTACTTTAAAAAGGCATATACAACCTGTCAGTCCTAGAACTTACAAAAAAAAACCCCACAGAAATGAAAGCCTATTAGGGCTCAACCACAATGCATAAGGTCCTCATGTAGCTGGATAGGTAACAAGTATTTTTACATTAACCTATGTTTTATAATTGACTTTTACATCTTGGTTTAAAAAGCTATGAAAATAACTACAGCAAAATATTAAATTTAGAAAAGATTATGAAAAATATTAAATAGTTATACTTCCTTTTAATCATGACTTTTTTCCATGATTTTTAGCTTACAAACCATCACTATCCAAGGACTTTGTAGTATCTAAGAAACCCAAAGGCTGCCCTTAGAAAACTCAGAAAAGTTGTAAAATATGGCTTCCCTACCACACATCCCTCCACTCTCATAATCTTTATGGCCTTAGAATCAATCATGAACTGCCTATGGGAAAATCTAGTTCAGGCTTGGAAACCTAGAGAAAACTATCACCTTCCCACTCTCACCACTTTTTAGATTTGTCTGAAACTTATCCATCAAGGTTCTAGGAGAATCGATCTGACGGAGAAATTATAGGAATTACAAAATAATGTTAAGAGAATGAAAGGAAAGTGAAAAGTACCTGAGCAAAACAACTATATTAATTAGGAATACAGTTACTTGCACTTTTTGCCATTCTACTTTCACCCAAAATAATCAGTGATAATAGCAATTAAGATTTCAGTTTCAAAACCCAGAGGATGGATGATGATCTTCTGAAGGCCCCAAATGTTCCCTCGATATAAAAGTGTCCAGATCTAACTGTCTTCAAACTACAGATCTACAATCTTTCTTACCTGATCACAGATCTATCAGCTCTCCCTTCTCCCTTTCCACTCTCAAATCCCTAAATGCTGATAACAGTGTTATCTAAGTCTTATTAATTATAACAATACACACTGTGAGAGCATTTACTTTGGCCATTAAGCAGAGGAATTTTGAAGACTTTTCTCTATACTTCTTTAATCTACCTCCAAAAAGAATTTCTGGTCTGTCTTGGGGAACCTCCAGAACAGTGTATTGAGCTTCAGGACTAATCAATGAGCTTCTAAGGGGGTTGGAAGCCCTTTCTAAAGGACCACACAAGGTTAATGGAGGCAGCTCCTACTTATATGACTGCCTCCTCTCTCCTTTTGCTTCTTAAGCATTGGGGCAAATGCTATCCAACCCTCACTATATTCTTTGGCTTTCTCTCTTATAGAAACAGTAATATCACAGACAGGCTTGGAACTTAGTAGAAACAGTCAGAGCAGGGCTTTTAGCCTGCTTTGATTCTATTATAGAGATCAACCTACCTAGAGCAACAGAGTTTTGCATTAGGGTTTGAGGCCAAAACCCAATAATGATGTATCCATTTGCCTTACTTCATTCCCCAAATTCCTTGGAGATCTCCCAGTAGCAAGATACCCACTTATCGTAATAAAGATTCATGCATTCTTAGATTTCCAGGACAAAAATACCATCCTAAATTGCTCATAACCCTCTAGACGTGCCATATGCATTGTACTACATTTATTATTTCATATACATTATATCACTTAATTCTTTAATGCAGTAATATTTGAATAAGGAAATTAAAATCTAGCAAGATTAAATAACTTACAAACAGTCACAAAAACTAATAAACAGGAGAAACAGGATTTAAATCCAAGCCAATGGTCTACATCTGTATCTTTCCAATCTGTTACTGATCCCTATTGTTTTATTCCCTTCCATACTCAATGTAAACATGTTACAACCATGCCTCCTCTACTTCTTGGAATAGCTAGTGTATCACATATTTTAAGTTTTCTACCTAAATTAGTTTTTGGAACATTGGTTTCTTGTGTGCCCTATTTGCAAGGATCACTAGGTAATCCAGCTCTTTCTTTCTTTCATTATTTTTTTAATATAAAAATAAAACTAGGCCGGGCGCGGTGGCTCACGCCTGTAATCCTAGCACTCTGGAAGGCCGAGGAGGGCAGATTGCTCAAGGTCAGGAGTTCGAAACCAGCCTGAGCAAGAGCGAGACCCTGTCTCTACTATAAATAGAAAGAAATTAATTAGCCAACTAATATATATAGAAAAATTAGCCGGGCATGGTAGCACATGCCTGTAGTCCCAGCTATTCGGGAGGCTGAGGCAGAAGGATCGCCTGAGCCCAGGAGTTTGAGGTTGCTGTGAGTTAGGCTGACGCCACAGCACTCACTCTATCCTGGGCAACAAAGCGAGACTCTGTCTCAAAAAAATAAAACTAGAAAATATTATTTTATACTAAAATCTGGCATGGTCAAGAGATAGATCATTTATTCAAATACTCTGCTTACTAGATGTTGTAAGCTTGTAGCAGAGGTGGGTTCTAAGAATCTTTAACATAGAGAAAATGGAAAACCAAGAATCCAGAAATCTTCAAAATTTTCTTAAGTAAATTAGTATAAAGATGTGCAGACACTGCTTTGATGTCTTTTCTCAAAGAGAATTGTTGCACTCATCAGACCTATCCAAGACTACTGCCTAATCTGAGGTTCTACAACCCAGTGCCTTTCCAAGTATGCTTCCTGGACCAATAAACTCAACGTCTCCTGGAAACTTGTCCAAAATACAAATTCTCAGGCTCTATCTTAGCCCTACTAAATCAGAAACTTGGGCAGGGGTGAGTTGTTTGGGGCCCAGCCAGGCCTCAGGACAATTCTGATGCACATGGAAGTCTAAGAACTACTACAACCAAAAAAAGAAATGTAAAGAACTGGAGAGAACTCTAACAAGAACAACAGAGATGAAAGAAAAGCTTGAGACTGAGAATAAATAAAAGAATCAAGACAGATGGCTTTAGCAAAAAGAAACCTGTGACAGTGACATTTACAAGTCTTCAAGTACATGAAGAATTATTCACAAAGGAAGGTAAGTAACCAGATGTCCCCCATTTCCCCTAAGGAAATATAAATAAGACATTATGGACTTTAAGGTGAAGTATAAGAAATTGAGGCAAAAATACAACTTAACAGTTTATTAAGGTAACTAAAAGAAAAAGTTAACTAAAATAAAAAGGTAAGAAAAGGACTTAATTCTGAGCTCCAGTAATATCTGGTCTCACAGGTAAAGTAAGTATGTCATAGTTGTAATTTCTGACACAAAAATTTTTTTAAATGTTGAAAAGTCACAAAAAGTGTAACCCTTAATAATTTCTATGGGAAGTACCATAATGATGATTTTGTTACCTGTTCACCTCCAGAATATTTTGCAATTATAGTCTTTATTGATAAAAAATAATTCCAGTTAATTTAGTAGATGTTCATATTTACTATAATTAGCATCATTTAGGAAATTAATGGTTTTCTTTACCTTTTCTACCTTTCCACCATTGATGTCACTGGGAAGGAATTTCTTGCCAATTGTTCTCAGATCTGTCTAAAATAAAAATATTATTATTAAAATATAATTATAGAAAAAAAAAACCTAAATCTAATCTCATGAACAGAAGATGAAATTGCTTATGGTTTGTGGAAAAACAATTAAATGTTTTTTAACTGATTATGAGATCCATACATATAATTAATCTTTTTAGCACCATACATAAGTTGTTTAAAGTATACCAGTAAGATGAACACTAACACATAAGGCCTTAACGCTGGTCATTTTTCTTTATATAAACTTTTAACTCACTAACTCTTCTCTATTAAAACTGAAAACTTGATTTTATATAAATTATGGTCTTACTAAAAAATTAATGCCATATTCCAAAACCAAATGACAGTTTTTGAATACAAACACATAGTATATTTTTAACAAGTGAATCCTGCATAACCTTGACATGACATGAAAACATTATTCTACAGGCTATGATATCCATAACATAACAAAGCTGTAGAACATACAAATATCATATGGAAACAATACCACTGGAATGGCAAAGAAGTTACAATAAGACTTAAATTTATTTCATTTGTTTAAACAAATTATACAAACAGAAGTTGGTGAACAAATGACTACATGAAACTACAGAAGTATGGTATAACTTAGCAAGAAAAGCAAAAGGACTAATATAAACAAGGTTATAGAATTCATGACATAAAAAGAAAACTTCAACTATACAGTCTAAATAAAAAGCAGAACTTTTATAGATTGTGTCCTCCTTAGGAAGTGAAAAACCTAAAAAAAATTTGTTTAGAGGAAGTATCAGTATTCATGAAAAATGTTCAATTATTTAAACTAAAATTATCTTGATGCTTGAGATAGTGACATTAACATAATAACTGGAGTAGTATTGTTTTATTATTCCTTAAAATATAGTAAACAGTAGCTCTTCATCACCTTAAGAACAAAAATAAAAGAAAACAGAGTACATTTAATCACATAAATAATAAGGGAGAAATTTTTGTCAGACTTGAGAAACATTAGATGATTAAAATTATGGTGATATGAAATTAATACATATATAGAGGTAGGACAGTCTTCTTTGAACACCTGCAATTAATAGAATATCCTCTTTGAAATATTCACATGTGGCCAGCTTAAGAAACAAGAATATCTTATACAACCTCCACAGATCCTTTCCAGTCTTTTACTATTGTGATTTGTAATTTATTACTCCTAAACTAAAATTCACCAAATGAAATTTCACTAAATGAAATTGCCAGGTAAACTAAGCCCCAAATCCAAACATTTGTGTAACAATGCTTTAGGTTTATGTTTTTTGCAGCCTCAAATCAATAACAGGAGGAAAAGAATTATAAACTGCCTCTAAGGCTGTACGCCTTTTCAGTTTGATGAAAGTACTAAGTACTGAGTACTTTTATGAGTAAAAAATACTTCTTTACACTAGCCTTTCCTATATTAAAATTGTTTGGAAGATTAAATGTTAATAACATGTGAAGCACTTAGCACAAGGACTTGCACAGAGTAAGCACTCAATATTAGCCATTGTGTTTATTTTAGTGAATTTAAAACACATACATTTTATCATCTGAACATACAAACAACAAATCAATAATGCAACAGTTCATAAAAACATAGACAGTATTTTGAAGTCACTCAAAGGCCGACATATTTAAATATGAATGAGAAACAGAATATATACAAATTTTATAATATATCATGGTCTCTCATTTCTGGTTTTGATCAATAATTATGAAATTTAATTCAAACTAAAATGAAGCATCAATGTAAAGTAAATCTTACTTTACAAAAAAATCTTAAACTTTCATTCTTCCCAACTATAATTAACTAATCATATGACCTTGGACACTATCACAAATTCTCTAAATCCGGTTAATTTATTCCTCTATAAAATGGAAAAAACACCACCGACCCTATCTCACAAAGCTGCTGTCAAGCTAAAAGGAAACAATGCATTCAAAATTTACATAACTTCTAAAGTGCTATACACAAATATTAGGGAATGTTATTTAGATGTGTTTTTAGCAAGATGAAAATGACCTACAAAATCTTTAAACATCCTAAATTCAAAGTCAATTTATAAGTACTAAAAAGGCAGATGCCATTATATCAGGACTGCTAGGACATCAACTGGGTCCAAAAATACTTTTATATTTAACATAAAAAGTAATGTAGAAGAAATATTTAGACTATAAAATTTTCTTTAGTAATTTTCAAAGCATCTACCTACATACACAAACACACAAAATTCCTATTTGTTCAAGTGAGTTTAAGAGAATATTTGGCAAATCATTTTATATTCTACAGAATCTTAAATGTTTTACAATTTTTACTAATAGCGTTCAGTAATTTAAGACTGGGGTATCACTAAACTTTTTCTGAATAATTCAAATATTTGAGCCCAAAATTACATGCTGGATTTCAATGTCATTTCTTAATATTCTTACTTCCCACTTTAAAGAGTAAAAACTTAAGAACACTCCTTTTTAACATAAAAATTTGAGCATTAAAGTTACATAGCAGGTCTGAGGCAGCTTTCTTTAGAAAGGCCTGCTTAAGAGGTTAGCCCTAGGCTGGCATCTGGGGACATCGCACTTGAACCATTCCCTAATTGAAAATGTGGTTCACTGCACAGACTGTTCTTATAAACAATGTGATTTATGATGAACACCTGTTTTTTTTGTGGGAGGAGTCTAGAATTTCAGTACATGCTAGGCAGAGGGTACCTTTGTTGGCAGCCCAATAAAAGCCTTGGCTACTGGTCTCAAAAGGACTTCCCTGGACAGAAACACTATATACATGCTAGACACAAGCTCAGTGTGTCCCCCACAGGAGGAAGAGAAGATAAGAAAACCTGTATGTGGATTAATCTCCCAACAATTAGTGACATATATATATATGTGTATAAAATAAGAATCAATAATACATTTGTCTTTTTCTCAGCTAGTGGTTAATTTCCCACAATCACTCAGAAGTTGAAAACATCCAACAGGATACTAAAAATATCTAAATTTTATTAAAAGATAATAAACTTAAAAATTAGATGATTTGTCTGGTATAGGCTTCATCCTAATAGGTTTTTTTTCCCTATAATCATATGGCATGATAGCTTTGGAGTATTCCACTACATATTTCAGACAAAATGATAAAGATAAATTAATTCATTCAGATAACATTCATCATGAATCTCTTATGCGCAAAGCACAAATACTTCATCTTGATTTATTTAAAATTTCACACCAATTATAAATAGTTCATTGCTATGTACCTAACTATATAAAGGAGAAAAATAAAGAACAGCAGATTGTCATAAAATGTCTTTCCTAGCATCTTCAGAAAGTTTTTCTTAAAAAAATAGGAAGAGTTCTTTACAATACTTTAATACAATAGAATTCACTAATTTGTGTGCAAGTCAAAGAAAGTATCTAGGAAATATTTGCCATTTTTTGTCATAAATACCAGATATGATTTCATTTACTGATTGATTGAGACAGGGTCTGACTCTGTTGCTCGGGCTAGACTGCAGTGGCATCATCATAACTCCCTGTAACCTCAAACTCCTGGGTTTAAGGGATCCTTCCTGGCTCACGCTCCTGGGTGGCTGGGACTACAGGTACACACCACTATGGCTGACTAATACTAACATTTTCTTTAATTTTTTGTAGAGACAGGGTCTCGGAAGTTGATCAGGCTAGTCTTAAACTCCTGGCCTCAAGCGATCCTCCCACCTCATCCTCCCAAAGTGCTAGGATTACAGGCACAAGCCATCACACCAGCCAACATGCAAAATGTCTACCTAATGTTTATTATAAAAAATTTAGTCTTTTGTTTATTAAAAACCTAAATACTCAGCTCAGAAATAAAAAAAAAAAAAAGATCTTGTTCATCTTATCGAATAAAATTCAAAGAAGCTGAAAAAATGATAGAGTTCAGGACATAAGTTTTACCTATTTAAACCCAAGTTTAATTCTATAAATATAAAATTTAAGTAATTTTAAAAGAAAAAGTTACAGACTTATACATTTATTTATATTTTAAATGTTCTTATTGCCCACCATTTCTGGTTTACATTAATTTTGCAGTGACACATGGATTTGTCAGACAATAGTTCTCTTATGAATTTCAATGATCACGTATCACAACACATAAACTTGATTTTGATAACAATCTAGTGATTGTTATTATAAGGCAACAGAAAAAAACTATCGGGGTAACTGCAGGATGAAGAAAAGAGCATTTGTTTAGTTACATTTTTAATTCAGACAACTTTTATAACTCTTGAGTAAAAGAACCAAAAGCCAATCCAATTATGGAAAAAATATAGCTACAAGGTTGGGTGGAGGAAGAGAGTTGGAAAGAAATATATACTAAACCAATAGAAGCAGATTTAGTTTCCTTATTTTGCTTTTCTGTATTTTCTGAAATATTCTACAACAGTATTACTTTTATAATCAAGAAAAGTTACTGTGCAACAATAAATACAATTATTGAAAAGCAATAACCTAGAGTTTCTATGTCAATTAAATGGCAATTTGTTTAATGAATGGTCACAGTTTTTACTATTACACAGCTACTGTAAATGTTATAAAATTCTATAACTGATCACTGGGTGAAAAAAAGGAGTATTGTGCTTTTTTCCTTTTTCATTGGATTCTGTAGAATAGATGTTAATAATTGGCTGATAAGAGATTACCAAATTCAACAAACATCACGATAACTTAAAATGGACCAAAAAAAAAAAAGATGTTCTCCATATTACTTATCATAAAATCCAGTTTAGTCTATGAAACTTTTTTATGAATACAGTCCAGATTTAAAATGTTATAAACTATTAACAACTTATAAAGTTAATAAATATAACCTACATTGAGAGCAATCGGGATGATGTCATTTACATTGACTTTGTCAGGAGAACTTGTGCAAGCTTCAATGCCTTCATCTGAAAGATACCTGTCAAAATAAAATAAACAGCTTAATATTACCTAAAATCAAAATTAACCAAAATTATTTTAAGTCTACATGCAATTTTGTTTTCTACTATAAAGTGCCTTTACTACAAATACTATGGAAAGTGTCCTGGATATGGACTCCCTGCTTATTTACTATTTCTGATAGAACAGAATTTTACAATTTTCCCTCTTTTGTACAGTTAAAGAATAAAATTATCCATATGCCTTCTGAGAAAAGCTATTTAAATGTCAATATACTTCTTAATGAATATATGAGATACTCTTTGCTATTTTACAAATACAATACTTGACTTAATAAATATCTGATAACACAGTAAGCTTTGAAAAAGAGATCAAGATGTGCCGTAAAAATAGAATCAAAAACAACATAGTTTTAAACTATTTCCAGCAGAAATTTCCCCTGAGCTACTTCTCATATTATCTTCTCAAGGTCTATTTTATAAACAGAATATTCTCAAGAATCCTTCAATCAATACTACTGACTCCGAGTAACACAAAGATAGGCAACTTTTTACCATATACCTTTTACTTTTCCTATCTCTTTTCTGTTTTTTTACTCAACGTCTTATTTGCCCTTTGTTCTTTTATCCAGTCCAAACCAATCACGCATCTGTCAGAAACAATATGTAATTCAAGAGATTATTGAACACAAAGGGCAAAGAAATCATTTCTACCAATCCACCCCCACATAACATAGACATTTTGAAATTCTTTGATAAATTCAGGTATCATCCACCAAAAAGTCCACCTGTAAAAATGTCTATTAACATCTCACATTTTTTGTAATGAGCACCAACTCTTTTAATCAATGGGTTAAGGCTACCATCACCAATGCAGACATTCTCCCACTGTTAAAAGAATCTGAGACTGCTAGTCTACAGATGTAATTCAAGCTCATTCTTGATGACTAACAATTCCACTGTCAACCCTCAACATTAGACTGATTCTAAGACACTTGTCAAAGTAAACCCTACCCAGAGACAGCAACCAAAAATGAATGTGCCTTTAAGAAGCAAAGAATAATTTCTCAAAAGTAAAATAGCAAGTGAAAAGAAATGTGAACAGTTAGGACCATACCAAAGAGCACAGAAGATTAATGTATAATCAAGATCAAGGAGCTAAAAGTCAGCAAAGTGTAAATTTAAATCAAAGCAAGAATGTAAATAAAATTTGGTACTATTAAAAGTTTAAAACCATGGCAGTGCTTAACTACAATGATGAATGAAGGCAAGTAGTTAAATGGGTGACAGAGAGAAAACAGAAGTGTTAAGTATGTAGAAAAGTCAGTAAGAATGAATAGATGGTAGGCAAGAATGACAGCACACAAGTGACCACGGAATACAAATGTTTGTAGTCAACTTAGATGATTAGAACACTGCTTTAATTCAAAATGGCTATGGTATCTTCTTTAAGATCCTGTCAATTTTTCACTATTCATAGCCAATAACTGTATCTGTAATTCTAACTAGTCATCTTACAAATTCAGCTCCATAAATATTAATTAAGCCCCTATTATGTGAAAAGTATTATATAAATTAGTAAAAGATTAGTAAAATTATGAAAATTAAACAGCTGCCTTCAGGGAGTTTACAGTCCTATACAGCATAACACAATACATAAAAAGCTATCATACAAAGCCAAAATAATTATAAATGAAATGGTATGAGGGCTTAAAGTGGCCAAAATAATTATAAATGGAGTGTTATAGGGGCTCAAAGTGGCTGAGGGAATGGTAGACATAGATAGAAAAGGAATAATATAAGCAAAAAGTTGGAAATGAGAAAATGTGAAACACCTTCTAGAGGTTATATCCTAGAGTATTATGGCTAGAAAATGAGGAAGAAAAGAGATATAAGTATAGGTTCAGACCAATTTTAGAAAGCAACAGTGCACAAAAATGGTGATATGTTAACTGCTGATTGATTATAAAAACACAACTTTCCACTGTCCTATACACAGGGGAAATAGTATGCAATGACTAATAGAATACTTTGTTTTCTAGAAAGGTAACTCTAGAATGAAAAGATTATAGAATGTCAGATGAACTAGAATAGATCTTTAAAAATAATCAAAGCTCACCTCTTCAACTTTACAGATGAAGGAGTCCTAAAAATGTTAATTAAACTTGCCCCAAAAATGTAAATTTAGGAAATGCAAAGTTAAAAACAAGAATGATTCCTAACCCCCCCAGTTCAGCAGTCTTTCCATTTCAACACACCATTTTTATTTATCAAACAATTAATGCTATTAGAGATATGATTGCTTCATAAACAAAAGCTAATGTATATACAAATCAGTTTCCTAATCAACTACACACTTCAACACACATACACAAAAAGCACACTTAGGCAAATTCAATCAGTAAGCTCCAAAATACATTAAAAAGAATAGATGTAACTTCATAGTAAAAGACCAGGAAACTAAAATTAACTAATGATTAGAGATTCAAAAATTGTAGAACAATAAAAAAAAAATCCCTTCAAAATATAAAAAGGGAAAGTCTGTCTAACAAAACTTCTAAAGGCAGAGCTATAAGGGGGTGGAAATTTGACTTTATCCATATACAAGTCAAATAGTGGTATCTTTCAAGTAATGCCTGTATAAAGCTTCCTGAATATAACTAATAAAAAGTGGCTCAGTCTCAATTTCTAAATTTTACAAGGTCTCCTTTACTCACCCCTTCATATTTTGAAAAATCAAAAGGCTTAAGCTTTCTAGATTTACTTCGTAATTATCAAGAAATAGGACACCCATTCACAGCTCTCCCAATTAACATCTTAGTGATCCTTCTGTAAATACTGGCCCATTTTCACAGAAAGAATGAACCTAAATTAACCATAATTTTAGACTTACAAATTAATCTTTTTAGTTTTGTAAATATTTACAACTCCAATATTATCAATGAATAAAACAAGTGACAAAAATAAAAAGTCAAATGCCAAAATCTGCTTCAAGATGCCCTACAGTAACACAATATCTGAAAGAACAAAACACCACAAGATTCACCAGCTTTAACTGTGGTCACTGGGAAAGAACGAAACTGAAAATTGGAGCAGGTGCACTAGATATGATCCCTGTGCACACCTGCCTGGTAGACATCAAGGGAAGAGAATTACAATCAGTTCCCATGTGCTATTTTTGAGCACTTAAAACCCAAGGGCACATATAGACCCTAGAAGAAACTGACTCCAGAGAGCTCTTATTTACTAAAACAGCCAGCAAAAGCACATGTCTTTTCTTTAGTGGAGATTTTGGACAGTAATATTATAAAATCACTCATCACTAAACTAAAAATACATCTAAATACACTTTATTGACAAGCAGGGCACTAATGGGCTAAATTTCTCACAAGACAAATATTTCTTACTAATTTTACCTTCAAATGATGCCATTTTAAATCACCACAGTTTAGTTAAGTGCTCAAATCTTTTTTAAAAAGTGATTTTAGAAAATACTTATTTTTTTTTTTCATAAATAGAAGTAAAGATGTTAAAATTCTGTCTTAGAGTCACTCTACTGGTAGTCCTGAGCAACTTTTTTTTTTTTTTTTACTTTAGACACAGCTATAAAATTAATTATAATCCACCAATTTGGAACAGGGGTACTTTTTTCCTATTGTAGATAACAAATTAAATAAGGGTCACATAGCCTAAGTGCCCCTGCCAGGACTGTCTTCATCTTATTTCAGAAGTCATTTGGCATATAATTCAGACATGTCCAAACCATAGTTCAAGAATCTCACTGGCAGAAAACTGTGATAAAACACTGTCACTTGGATCTCATTCATTAGTTCCAGAGAGTGGATCTCCATTACCACCCTTTACCCCCAGTAAGGAAAAAAATAAGGCCAATTTTCCTTTGATCTCTTTCTTTGAAAGCAGGTAAAATCCTTGAGTCTAACTTACTGGTTATGATGCATACGTAAAGAAGAGAAATAAGGTAAACTACAGAACACATGCCCCAGCTTAAGAGGGTGGCCATAACTCAGCTCCAGCTAATGCGTAAGGATAGGTAAAGTAGTTATTGTCAGATCTGATTCTTGCTTTTAGATTTTTGTAAAGTGATGTACAAGCCAAACAAAACAGGTTTTGGTCTACAGGTGGCACACATTTTGTACTTACTAAGCATACTAGTTTAAGTTATTTGTTTTTATTCACTTCTATGCTTACTTACTCCTGTTCACTTCCAAGTTATCTTTGGCATACTGTGTTGTGTCATAAGTGTCTCTCAAATGATATGACATTCATAACAGTCTTTCTTTCCAAGCAAAAGAGGAACAAAATGTCTTTTAGGTCACTTTGTATGACACTGGGAGAACAGAGAACACGATTATGCTTGTAACAAATGTTCTCTGATGAGCTGTCTATATAACACTAAAAAATGTCAAATTGTTTATTGTCACTAACCTAAATATTTTACAAACTAGACATGTATAGAATCTACCCTTATGTCAGACTTCTAAGACTACTTATATTTTCAAGGGGTGGGGAGGGACATTCTACTCGGCCAGAAACTGAGCCATAAAAGCAAACACTAACGTTTTCTTCCCTCTATCCAATCCACCTCCACCCACTGAAATAATGAATGTCCGTTCAAATCTGAACTGAGACATGATTTCCTAAAATAATCAAAGACCGAATCTAGTATTGCATATTGATATAAAAGTAGGCTGATGACACATGAAAACTCTTTAAAATGCCAATGAGAAAGCCAAGAGTGAAAATATTTTTCTCAAGTGAATAGGGACTATATCAAATAAAATAAAATAAAGGAGCTCTCTGGACAGTGACTGATACACAGTGCTCTTAATTACCTATGAATAAAACCCAAATCAAATGGCTTTATTTGGTTTTGGGGGTCTCTGACCTATAAGTGACTATTTGATACCACACTTAGGTTATTAGACCCCATATGACACCCAAATACCAAAATGGGAATTTAATAAATGAATTCTCTTTCTATCCCCACAGTGTAAGTAGA